CATAATTATAATATCATTTTTTTTAAAATGCTAATTAGATCAATTAGATAAATAGGCAATTTCCCATTATATCTTGTCCCACGACATTTCCCAATCTTCCTAGCTAAACTTCCTTTAGAAAATTATATTTATCATGATAAAATTCCTTAAGGAGTTTTTTTTTTAACATTTTTTAAAAGAGATAAATTTAAAAAAGTCACAGAATAAGAGTAAGAAAATTTTTGATTATTTTTCGGAATTCTGGGGATCCATTGGAAGTTATACTATGCTCAGGGTTTTTAAAGCGGTATTTACCATTAAATTTTACGACTTCCCAAGATGCTGCATAGCGGAGAGCGGGGCTAACTGCCAGGTGGTTCATCTTTATGGCAAATTGTTTCAATTATGGTCAAAAGATGTATTCCTATACATATCATCTACCATATGTTTACTAAGTAACGGGAGCTTCTTATTCGAAAAAATATTGATGAAAACAATTTTTTTTAACAGTACCTTTTCAAAACAACTTTTCTTTATAGGAATTTTTTTTTATTTTTACGAAATTTATATGGCCATATTACCCAATAACTAGGCTTGCGGATTTAAACTTGGTCCATTGTTTCTAACTTATCTAGAAAGATTTGTACAGCTATTATAAGCTAACTCACTACTCTCAGGGCTAAACGGCGAGGGGTAAAATGGCAAACAAAAGAAGAATTGGAAATATGTAATGTGGGGCAGACTAGATAAATTAGTCTCGAATATTCGGAAAGGACAGATTAAAGTTGTGCCAGGGTCACCGGTAAATAGTGAAAAGCACAGCATTTTTACTTAGACCTGTCTTATGTTGAGGCTATCCAATGACTCTGAAAAAAAATATAATTAAAATTTTATCTCAAAAAGAGCCAAAACACCCTGCCAGAATAGATCCGATCTTCTCCTAGCATGGATTTAAAAAATGGTATATTTCCTTCCTTCCCTCTTTCTTTCTTTCTTTCTTTCTTTACTCTTTTCTTTTCTTTCTTTTCTTTTCTGTTTCTTTTCTTTTCTTTTCTTTTCTTTTCTTTTCTTTTCTTTCTTTCTTTCTTTCTTTCTTTCTTTCTTTCTTTCTTTCTTTCTTTCTTTCTTTCTTTCTTTCTTTCTTTCTTTCTTTCTTTCTTTCTTTCTTTCTTTCTCTTTCTTTTCTTTTCTTTTCTTTCTCTTTTCTTTTCTTTTCTTTCTTTTCTTTTCTTTTTATATATTTAAAAAAAATGCAAATAGGAGTGAATTATTTATTACGAATTAATCCAATAATCCATTATTATGTGACTGCGTCGTTAAGTAAATAAAGTCACAAAAATAAAATATATTTTAAAAAAAAAGAAGTTAACATTAAGTTTTTTTTGGTGGAGCCAATATATCTCAATATTATGAATCAGGTTTTTTAATCCCTAACAACGACATTTGCATCATAAAAACTAGTATAGAAATATTATCATCAAAAAAAAAGGAAAAAATTGCATTAGATTTAATCAAAAAAAAATTTGTTTGAACTTCTTATCAGTATTTCCCGAATTTTATTGGATATATTTAATTTTATTAATATTTTTTTTCTTCTATTATATATTATATTTCGTTAGATTAATATTTAAAAGCTTATTTTTATTAATCCCACCAATTCTTCCAGTGAATTTTCCAAAAAAATAAAAAAAAAATTAAATCAATCAAATGACCATTCAACTCTGACATTATTGGCAAATATGTTAATTCCAATTTTTTTCGCGAAGGAATGGTTGATTGCTATTATATTTAATATAACCAAGAGTTTGCAAATAATTATATATAAAAATTGATGATTATGGATGTTTTTTATTTTTTTTTAAAAAAAACACGATGAAAAAAACATGAAAATTATTAAGCGAAAATCCCGAATGTTCCCAAATATATTGCATTGCAGTGAGCAATTCTTAGAGTCGTGAAAAACATCTACAGCAGTTATTCGCGGACAGTCACCCGACATGATGAACAATTAGAAAAAATAATGTCGCTCGCTTTTCCCTCGCCACAACCCTTAGTTTAGTGCTGAATGAAAACCTTGATTTAGGGATTTTAAGTCAAAAAAAATATATTAACTATTCCCTAAGAGAATTGGTCAAAAGAGGGTCAGACATATTTGTCATCTATAGAGCAGAATCTCGGAGGTTCCGGTGATATTTTAATTGTCTAAAAATCATGATTTTTAGCCATTTGGAATACTAATCCTTAGAATTTAAAAAAATATTTTGCAAAAAAATATGTATAATCTTGCAATTGAATATATGGCTATAATAAAAAATTTGTACATTTTACCTATTAGAGGCATTTCAAATTATTTACGAGTTATAAAATGATTGGATAATTTTAATACGAGGTTAAATGCTACAAAATTTTATCACGTTTGTTTATCCTTTTAAATTAAAAAAAAACGGTTCTTCCTCGTTAATAAGAAAAATAGTGTTTATGGGGGCACGAGAAACTGGGGTTGTTTGAACTGTTAATAAAAAATATAAAAATTTCTGTCCGTTATAATGCAGAAAATCTAATGGTTCAGGAAGCCCGGTGACTGTGGTTTGAATAACTCCATTGTTGGAGCTCGTATATTAGTAAATTTCTCTATCTTTTGATATATATATATATAGGTGTATATATGTAAGCGTCAATGTGTTTTTTTCCGGCAATGCGTTATTTTTCAACTTTAAATCCATTTTTGGACGCGTTTTTGTTAAATTTAAAAAAAGAAAGAAAAGAAAGAAAAGAAAGAAAAGAAAGAAAGAAAGAAAGAAAGAAAGAAAGAAAGAAAGAAAGAAAGAAAGAAAGAAAGAAAGAAAGAAAGAAAGAAAGAAAGAAAGAAAGAAAGAAAGAAAGAAAGAAAGAAAGAAAGAAAGAAAGAAAGAAAGAAAGAAAGAAAGAAAGAAAGAAAGAAAGAAAGAAAGAAAGAAAGAAAGAAAGAAAGAAAGAAAGAAAGAAAGAAAGAAAGAAAGAAAGAAAGAAAGAAAGAAAGAAAGAAAGAAAGAAAGAAAGAAAGAAAGAAAGAAAGAAAGAAAGAAAGAAAGAAAGAAAGAAAGAAAGAAAGAAAGAAAGAAAGAAAGAAAGAAAGAAAGAAAGAAAGAAAGAAAGAAAGAAAGAAAGAAAGAAAGAAAGAATTCCATTTTTTAAATCCATGCTAGGGGAAGATCGGATCTATCTGGCAGGGTGTTTTGGCTCTTTTTGGAGATAAAATTTCATTTATATTTTTTTAGAGGGTTAAAACTAATTATACCATTGGATAGCTTCGACATAAGACTACAAAATAAATTAAAACCTGAGCGGGTATTCCAGCATGTTTAGAATATCTATCTTTATGTTATTATAATTTCTATAGAAAAAAAAATCTGTAGCAAAACGAATATAAATTTTAATAGAAGTTCAAAGGTTTAAGGCAAAATTGTCTGAAATTAGTAGGGTTAGGGTAGGTATTCATGATAGAAATATTTAAAAAAATAACACATTATCGGGAAAAAAACGCATTGAACGCTAACATATATATATATAGGACTTTCCAAAAGACGATTTTTTTTAAAAAAAAGAAGTAAATCATCGAACCCCGGTTCTTCATTACCTCTTTACACAAAAAAAAATGCAAAACAGGGTAAATAAGTCCATTAAAATTTTTTTTTTATAAAAAATATATTTTAATGACACATGTATCTCTAGTGTTGTTAAGATTCGTAGAAACGGCTAACTCAGTATTTTATTAGGGAAATTATTAAGAAAAGCCTAAAGATTTTGCTCATAAGATACACAAAGGTTTGAACATCTTTTAACAAAATTTCGTGGCTCAGGACAATACTTTTCTGGCTAAAATATTGAGTTGACCGTTTCTAAAGATCGGCTAAAATCGAACCGTCTAACAACACTAGATATATCCATTTATAATTTGATATTAAATTATTGTTATATTGGTCACTGGCGGTTTATATAAAAATTTACAAATTTTACAACAACAAAAAAATACGTTTACTCAGAGTAAAAAAATTGGCAGTTTCGGCACTCGTGATTAATCAAGTCAGCATATCTAGCTTTAAAAAAAAAATCTAATTTTTATTAATTTTAAAAGAAAAGTTTTGTTTTTTTTTAAATAGAAAAAAAAACATGTGCAACATGTCACTGCTTAATCTTCCTTGGAATGGGATCATTAATTAAATAATTAGAAGAGAAAAAAAAATAATAATAATGGATCCATGTTAAAAAAAAGAGTAATAATAATAATCTTTTCTCTGGATTAATAACATCTTCTTTTTTTATACTCCATCTTATTTGCAGATAATATTGTAGTAATTATGTTATTAGTTTCTAACCCATAGGCGCCTTATACTTTCGTGGACAAACCGGAAATAGTCTCGACTCCGATTAATTCCTAAAAAAAATATCACATATGACTGACTAACATATAAACAAGATAAAACATCCAAGGGTGCATCCCCCCTCCACCATTTAAACTGGAAAGAAAAATGTGTAGTTCACCTAATATAACTATGTGGTATATATCAGTGTGCAAACTCGTTGCCTGCCTGGCCAGGCCCGAACCGTTATCGTCTACCACCACCGGGCCGGGTTTGATTTAATGCATTTTTTTTTCATATAATATTTGAGCAGGCCTGTGTATTTTATTAAGGAGACTCACATTTTAAAAAAAAAATTGTCAGCTAAACCCTGATTCTCATATCTCTCTAAACCTTACCCTACACTCTCTTGCCTAAGTTTACTGCTTCGAGGAAGGTGGTATCAGTATTTAAAAGTAATTTACCACATGGTGGAGATAAAAGCCGAACTATCGCTCAGTTTAGATCTGTTACCTCTCAGTTAAACCTGTTATTCAAAATATTAGATATTTCACAAAAATACTTAAATTAAAAAAAAAATAATAATTCAACGTAATGTTCAAAATTGTCAAAGTATAATTGTGTCACCCCCCCCCCCTCCCCCACACACAATCCAAAATATGATAAGAATTTTTCTTTTACCTACAAATGAGAAAAGGATTTTTTTTTTGTTATTCCATGAATTCCTCTTTTGATACGAAATCTTTTAGATTCTGAATTCATCTTCATCTAAAGGATCAAAAAATTTTTTAATCTAAGAATAATATTATAATAAAATTAATAAATTCCGTGATCTCTTTACTTATATATTAATATTATATTATTAATTTCCATTAAATTCTTATTTTTATAATTTTTTTTAAAATAAAAAAATTTGTATTTTTTAATGGGGAAAATAAGGAAAAACCAGAAAAAAAAAAGAAATAAAAGAAAATAATATTCAGAAAAATCTTAATAAAAAAAAATAAATTAAATAAAATAAAATAAAATAATAATAATGATAATAATGTAAAAAAAAATAATTACAAAGTTATTTAACTAACAATGAAACAAATGTCATAATTTATAAAATTTTACATATTTTTTTTTATGTATTAAATAAAATTTAGAACGATTGCAAAAATGTCGAAAAAATAGGATAAAAACAAAAAGAAAGAAAATTTTTTTTTTCTATTACATAATATAAATAGGGCTAAAGGTAGCCCCGGGTTACGAAATTAGTGAAACTCGAGGGAATATATTTGTGAATTTGGAATTGAGATATACTTAGCTTTACAAAAAAAACATGGAAAAGCTTAGATCCCAATAAGAGTTCTCGCCCTCTAGTACAAATACCCAAAACGACCCACCGATTCCATTTCCGGCTATCATTGACCAATGTCGCCTAAACATGGAGGAAAAGCTTATCTTATAAAAAGAGAACTGAAGATCCCAATAAGGGCTCTCGCCCTAGGACAAATACCCAAAACGACCCACCGATTCCATTTCCGGCTATCATTAACCAAATGTCGGCCTATATTATATTTAAGTCTATCTTACATTTTTTTTCTTCTTCCTATTATCGTTTTTTTCTTTTATTTGGTAATTTCATTTTAATGTTTTAAAAAAAGAGTATAATATATATTAATTAAAGCATTTAAAAAATTACATGTATACTGTTTAAAAAAAAGGATATTAACGACATTTTAATGGAAACAATTAAAAAGTAAAGACAAAAAAAAACCTATATAGATATTTTTTTAAAATATAAAATAAGGTATTAACAATCTTTTCATCAATTATCCATGGATTATGGAATACAGTTGGAATGGCAAATTGCTATGGATATTCTTAGCCGTGGATGATAACTCTTTTGGAATTGGAACGCCGGCATAATTTTTTTTCCTTACTGTTTTTGAATCATTTTTAGAACTCGAGGTTTAAATGAATCACTGATGGTAGACACTTATCAGACAGAACAAATCAACGGCATTTAATTGATTTTTTGAATTTTCAGCTCTTAGAAAAATAGAATTAATGGAAACGAATATGGCAAAAAAAATCTACACGAAGAGGCAATTTTTTAATTTCAAAGGATGATTAACATCCCGTCGGGGAGGGGGGCTACCCTGGCTTTCAGGGTTAGGCGGGATGGTTTGGGAAATGATGAGATATTGGTATCCTGAGTATATATTATTGAGTTAATGTGTCAGGTGACAATTGATGAGAGGTAGAGTAAAAACAAATTATAGGTGTTGCGATGTCTCATCCTAATTGAAGGCCGATAGAGATTTCTAAGCTCTTAGTTCTACAAGTTATAACTTTGATATTATTCCAAACGATTGGTAGTCCAGATGGGGTGTAAATCAATTAGATAAATAAGCAATTTTTGAGGAATGACTTTTCAGGTGACGGAAAGGTGACGAGGAATTCTTATGTAAAGTTTTAAAAAAATTTGATATTCAACGGAGAAAGTCTGATTGTCTGCAGGAGTTATGAGCTCCTGGAGGGCATTCCCTATATCTAATGGTCTACGCCTGAAACTTGGTATAAGAGTCTTGTTCATTGAACTATTTTCAACACCAACGTGTTTCAACAGATTTTACTTTATTTATTTTTTTTTACAATGATGTTAGTTTAGGCATACGCTCTCTCTATGTACTAAAAAAGTTTAAAAAAAGAAAACATTTTTTTTATTTTGCCTTTCAAATTTAAATATATATAAAAAAAATGAAATTTAAATATTTATTTATCAATTTTCTCTTTTTAGTAGCATCATTATCACATCACATTTAGCATAAATATAATATAGTAATGTAGTTATAGTCTAAGTTTTCTCTTAATTAGATTTTAATTAAATTTTAATTTCTCAAACTATTTTTTTTTAAAGAGAAATAATAATAACAATATTAATAAAATTAAATTAAAACTGGCCATTTATTTTTAAAATATTAAATAATTTTTTTTCTTAAATTGCAAATTGCCTTAGCACGCTATATAAATGTGATAGTTGCAATGTAATAAGTAACAACAACATATTATAACTTATTTATAAAAAAAAATCAATGGAATAAAACTTATGATAATAGCATAATCGCGTTGTGGTATAAGACCAATTATAAGATGCTAATTGACATATAACTTCTACTTCTAAACACTGAATCATTATAAAAGTAAAACACCTGAATTTCGACAAATTTTATATTTAAAAAATAAAACAGCAGTAAAACAAAAACAAAAATCGATATGATTTTTGTGCTTTTCTGAAAATACCACTCTAGAATGAAAAGTTGATTGAGTTGAGTGACGCAGCAAACTGGCTGATATTTGAGCCGGTCTATAAGGTGATTTTGCAAGTTCCTGACTTTCATATGGGATTTTCGATATGTATAAAAAAATCGTCCAAACTTAAATCACTTGCCATACATAAGTTATTTTTTTGTTAGCCATTTGTATCTTGATACAATATTATTTTTACAGAAATAATATCAAGGAAATATAGGATTTGAGTTAATACACCCCAAAAAAGTTGCAAAATATCCGGCATTATCCAAAGATACACCAGCCAATTTTTGGTAGGGTTAGGGGTTAATAATTTTTATTCAAAACTTTTAGTTTTTTTTTATTAAAAACCTGAAATATTTTGGGCCTTAATATATATTCACCCGAAAAATAACCGAAATTAATTTTGTTTTTCAAAACGTGTTCTTGAGAGAATTTGGAAGCAAACACTTGAAAACCCCCGTCACCCCTTTCCTTCTGGAAAACTGAGTACTTTCTGATTTTTTGGTCGCTACCCTACAACTAATTCGTTTTTGAAGAGAGCAATGACAAATCCCATTTTCCTTCTTCGCTTCCAGAACCCCCCCCCCCTTCCCCTTAAACCAAAAATACTTGATAAATGAGAAGAAAAAAAAATTGAAAATCTTTCTCCAATCTCGATAAATGTTTTTTTTTTCCAATAAAATGATTAATAATAAAATATCGAAATAAAAGTATATAAAGATAAGAATAATATAAAACTTTGTCACGAAGAATATAACCAAATATTTTTCGACTCAAAAAAAAAGTTTCTAAGAGAATTTTGACCCAATCAGCCTGATCACCAAAGCACTCGCATTTTATGAGTGGGAGGGATACCAGGATATTGGTTTATATTATAATCATATGGCGACTTATACGCACCATCTAATTATAGTAATTAATATTATACATCTATTTTTATTGAGAGATCACCCCCCCCCCCGCCTATGGCGTTTCAAATTATAGAAAAGTAAGTGATCATAAAATAAACGAAATTTATGGAATAACAATTACTTTTTCTTCTTCTTTTTATCTCATTTTTTTTAATATCATCAAAAAAAATCAAAAAGTCGTCATATATTTGGAAATGATTTGTTTTATAAAAAAAATAATTGGTGTCTTCCCAAATCAAACTTTTATATTTATATATATATTATTATATATATAAATATCCAAAAACTTTTTCACAAACAAGATGGAATTATAAAAATTTTATATTTTTTATATTTAATTTTTTTTTTTTTTTTTTTTAAAAAACTGATATCTCATTGATATTCTCCTCAACCGATTTCGATCATGTCTTCCTTTTAAAATAGATTATATAACCAAACAAAACAAAAAAAAAGGAAATATTTTCTTCCCGAATTATTAATTTACAAGTGGTACTCCCAATTCGTTATCTTCGTATAACAATGGCCTAATTAAGAATACAAGTCATATTTTTTTGCAATGAGTGGCAAATCAAAGGCATTTTACTAATTTATTGGGAATTGTTTGGGGGAGGGCATATATATTTTATTTTTTAATTTAAAGTTATTAATTTCTTTGAGTTTTATGGGGGGGGGGGGGGGGGGGTGGTTAGTGTTGTTTGAACGACCCGAATTGAGACAGTTTAAAAAAAGGGGCAACTCACTATAGTTATCCGGAAAAATATTACGCGAGTCTTAAAAAAAATTTGGTCATATACGGGTTCGGACATCTCTAAGACAAATCTTGAGGCTTGAGCAATATATTTATGGCTAAAATATTGAGTAGCCGCTTTCAAAAATAGGGCTCAAATCGAGCGATTTAACAACACTATGATGGGACGCGCACCAAAGGCGTGTCAGCTTGACCCGATCTAGTGAAAGCGCAACACGGAGAACCAAATAAACCTATTCGCCAATGCTTATTAGCTAGATCTACTAGCATTGTCATATTCGCCTCTATGAATTAACATCTATCTGCATATCCTCCATCATTAAATCACTCCTTCTTTCCCCATAATTTTCTTCGCTTCCATTTGCAGGTATATATATATATATATATATATACATATAACCATTGTAAAAGTCCAAACTATAAACTTCCAATTGTAAAAGTCCAATTTATTCATATAAATATCTAATTAAGATCATAAACTATTAATAATATAAAACAGTCATCAAATATAATGTCTTCTCCACCCCAAAATGCACACAAAGAAAACTTCCATCGTTCTTCACCAAAATCCCATCTGATCACTCCTTTCAACTCCTGTCCCCTAGGAAAAATTAATTCTCATCTCGTTCCTTTTTGCGTATGTTCTAGCCGCTTCAACATATTTTCTCTCATCTTCCCTTTTTATATCAGCAGCCACTATAATACGGTACATTTTATATTGGCCTAATATCCATTTCAGTATTCTCATTTCTGTCACCCTCATATCCTTCTCATCCCTCAACTTAATATTCCTACATTCCAACCCATAATAAAAAACACTGGACCAACGAATTTATAGGCGGACGTTTATTTCTCAATTTCTTACAGGTATCTTTCTCCTCCCAGTCCTCGTTTATTTTTCCATCATCATTGTGACATTATTCCTAAATAATTGCGCATCATCAACTCAACTATTCAGTATTCCATCCACTTCACTCATTTTAGTCAAATTCGAACTTTGTTACCATCAATATTTGCAATTCTCAGGCAACCTAAAACGACTCCGTTATCAGAATTAGAAACGCCGAAAATAGGAATAAATTAAACGCTAACCCACCTGGTTAGCTGTCATTTTTTTTCATGCAATCTCCCCAGGACACTCATGGTAAATTCTGATCCTATGTTCATTATCACATCTGGCATTATTCGCATATCTACCTTTTGAATGATTTGAGATTTTATTCACTTTTATAATTATTTTAATATCTAAAACCCTCATCCCTTTCCTTTAAAAATTTAGAAATAATAATTTGGCACCTTATATTATCATTCAGAAAACCATCAGGGATTCTAGTTAACTATCCAATTCCCCAATTGACCTAAAATCTTCACTCCTTCTATCGAAATACCATTCTAGTGTTCAAAACTCACTTCCTTCTTCTTAATTCGTGATCTTTCCTGTCGACTCACCCACATGATTTCTTTCATATTCTTCATTTAGCAAGAGAAGCGTTTCCTCTTACCTTGAAAAACACTAGTATTAGGATATATCTCCCACCCTTTAGTGTTAGGGGTAACTCTAAGTTCTTCTAAGAGTGGAGAGAGCTGTTTTAGTCCCATGTTCTACCTATAGATCCGAATCCTTTGCCGCGATAGCCACCAATGCAATCCGGTTATCAAAATATATTTGTCATTTTATCGTTCCATTATTTCTTCGTGTTAAACTGATGAAAATTATAAGGGTCGATTGTTAAAATTATGACGCTATCATTATTTCCCTTATTTTTCTAGAAAATAGATATTTTAAAAAGTTAAGGGTTCGGTTTGACAATCTAGTGAAAATATCAAAACACCTGAAGGTATATATTTAACAAAGCTTTCGTAATAAGAATGTCAAAAGATGTTAGACAAATGGAAAAAACTGATCGTATTCTTATTTGGCGAAAAAAAAAGGAAAACATTTGTAATTGCGAGTGGATGAGAAACTATGAGAGAAAATGATTAATCTTTTATGTCAGTCTCTGATTCCAACCACGTGATTCAACTATTAAATAGGTAAATAGAGGGAGATAGACTCGATAAAGTTTGCTAGGGAATAGATCTGAGAAAGGGAGGAAGGGGTAAGACCACATAATATAATTTCATAAACACAACGAGAGTACATGTAGGTAGTGTTTTTTAAACGGTTCGATTTAAGCCGATTTTTAAAGCTCAATATTTTATTTATAAAAATACTACGCAAGCCTGTATATTTTGGTCATCGATGGCACGATTAGAATTCTGGCAAGTTAAAAATATCTGCCAGATAAAATAGGGTTTCGATAAGTTTCCAGGATTAGATTGGTGCGATGGATAATAATTTAGATTGTGCTAAACTATCAGATCCTCGATCTCACTGAACTCTTAAAAAAATCTAAAATAACTAAAATTACTATACCCATTATTACCATTACCTATGTATTCATATGAGAAGTCCATTTTTTTCTACGGATACTTCGAGCCTAGAGATAAATCGGTGGGAGTATTAAATATTATTCAGAACTATCATCTTTGTTAACTTATAATTAGAAGAAATGGCTAAAGGTTCTTGCCTTGAATACGCGCTGTATTTATATGTAGAGCAGTTATCTAAATATTTTAACGACTTTGGGAAACTCTAAGCGCATCTTAATAAATAATAATTGGTTCTTCAGTCGTTTCTTCTTCCTTATATAATAGTCAAATTTTGTGCTTTAGTCAATAATATTTCAATGAACCTTGGGTACAACAACGACATTAATTTATAATATAATCCATAGGTTATAGCGCAGCCACAGAACTTATAAATCAAACCCGTCCATTTGTGGAAATATTAACGGCTCGATCCTTTTTCCCGAGTAATTTAGCTCAGGTTAACCGGCCCGGCCCATATTAATTTTTTTTTTCATGGATGAAACATAATTGTATAAATACGTATAATCGTATAATATTCAAAAATATTCAATAATATTGCTTAATTATAATAAGGAGTGTTACGGTTAACGTTTTATTTTGATTAAATTTTCGTATATTGTTTTTGTATATACTTGAAGAAACCTTTTGTATTTTTTTTTTATAGAGATCCTATATTTTGCATGTGCCAATTTTGGAATTGTCAATAAAGAACGTATTTAATTTTTATTCATAAAATGTTCATTAATAAGGAAAATAGGATCGATACACAACTTACCCGAATTTGTACCTTGATATTAATAATTTATTTCATTTATTTATTTTTAAATTTTCAAAAAAATTAAAATAAAATGAAAAAATATATATTTGGATTGTCGAAGATACCCCGAAATACGCTAAAAAGGCTGAGGGTCATTTTTGCCGGTTTAACGTCGACGGAATTCGCCGATTGCTGGAACCATTACGACGTGGACAGAAATGGATTCATCGAGGGTGTCGAATTGAGAAATTTGCTAAACGACCTCGTAAACCGCGCTCTGATCCGCCGGAATCTGACCGAACGGGAAAAGAGGAAATTACTGCAAGAATTTCTCAAAGAATTCGACATCAATAAAGACGGAAAGTTGGAAATCGGAGAATTGGCTCAAATATTGGAACCGGAAGAAGGTTTTTTGGCGTTAGTCAGGTACGATATGCCTTTAATGAACGGGTACGATTTTATAAAGGCGTGGTCAGCATTTACAGGCGGTAATAAAGATTTTATTCCCGTGAACGATGTAAAAAATTTCATAAACTACCTCTACCAGACGACGCAGGACAAAACTTTGAGTGACGATAAGCTGGAAGAATACGCGAAATCGTTAGTCACGTTGTACGATAAAAATGGAGACGGGATATTGAGTTTCAAGGAAGTGTCGAGGATCATTTCGCCGGAGGAGAATTTCATGCTGAAATTCAAGGAGGATTACCATTTAAGTTACCGCGACTTTTGCGCGATATTTCATCATTACGATAAAAATGGCGACGGCGTCCTGGCGGGAAACGAAGTTGTGGCGTTTATTCGAGACGTATTACAAACCATAAATATTGATTCCACGGAAAAGGCTAAGGAGCTAGAAAAATTTAGAAAAATCATGCTAAAAGCTTGCGACAAAAATAGGGACGGTAAATTTCAACGCGAAGAACTCGCTTTGTGGCTAGGGGTTCATATAAATTTCTAGACGCAATCTCCGTGAATACTTTATATATTTTATCAAAAGAACCAAATAATGTTTTCAGTATTTATATAAAATTATTAGTGTAATTAAAAAATTTTTTTTATTGTTTTGTAGGTGTTTTATTTTGGTTAATGATGCTTACTACCAAGTGAATGTATGGAAATATTCTAAATACCAACATAATTTGCTAAATACCGACCAAAATTTATTAAAATGTAATAAGACTTATTATTTAATATATTATAATGGAATCACGTGATCGAGTCCGGCCTCCTATATATCATCCCCCCAAGGATGGAACCACCAAGTTAGAATAAGAAAAAAAACATAATTATTATCGGGATTCGAACCCGTGACCATGGGATCAGTAAGCGAAGCTCTAACCGACTAGGCCATAGAGGCTTTCAAATAATTAGGATTTTTCAAATATATATTATAAATATATTTGGTATTGCCTATCCAAATGAAAAATAACAAAATTCAAATTAGATAGGTAGTACCTTAAGGTAGTAAGCATCATTAACCTTTTATTTTTAGTAATATAATAAAATTGTTATAGAGGACATTCATATGAAGTGAGGTAAACAAAATATTCAGTTAAAGCCGTTTAAATGTGAAATCAGTCAAAGGTAATATTCCTAAATGCGAAAAAATATATATATATATATTTTGAAAATATCACTTGGAAATAGTGTTGTTAAAAAGCTTGTTTTAAAACGGCTAACTCAATATTTCATCCAGAAAAATATTACCCTGAAGAATTTGCTGATAGAAGGAACAAAGGTCTAGACATATATTATCGAAATCTAGAAGCATTAGGGAAATATTTTTCTGGCTAAAATATTGAGTTAGCCGTTTTGAAAATAAATCATATCTTTACAGTGAGAATTATCGGGAAAATGCAAAGGTCTTAAACCTCCCATTCATATTTACGTAATGTTAAATAATATCGGTTATTTGTTAAATCAAGGATATTTAATTTAACTTTAAAAAATCAAAGTAAAATTAATCTATTTTAAAAATATAAAAGATATTATTTGCTAGAAATATGAGTTAAAAAAAATGCATTTATATTTGGAAAGCAATAATGATAATGAAATTCAAACACATTACATGAATGGCCTATTTTTTATATAAATTTATTGGCAATCTCCTTCTCAAAAAAAAATAAATTATAAAATGGTTTGTCCAAGCCATTTTTTTTTTGAATAATAGGTCATTAGTATAGTTGGGTAAATATTATATGTTTAGCCGTTTAGGCCAACGTTTAGTCGAAAACTATCACTTTGGCCTAGTAGCTTTTCTTTAAAAAAGATAGCAGCTAAAATTTTGGAAGAAACTGATACAAATGAAAACGCCTTAATATTAACGGATTTTCTCCGACAGGCTTCTGAAGATTGAGCCGAATTAGAAGACACTTCGCCCAACTATAGTGAGTCATTAGTAATTGAAGAGAAATATGAACTTTAATTCATGCATCATCTCGCACTTGACAACGGACTTATTATGGGGATTTGATGGTGAGGCAATTGCAAATTATTAATGAATAACTAAATTGATAGAAAGAGAAAGAAAGAAAAAAGATTTTTTATAAGAATAGAAACAGAATAAAATTCACTTATTTATTCGTAATTCCTAACTCAGCTTACTAATTTAAAATTTCGTAACCCGGGGATAACTGCAAAAAATATCAAGTTTTTCCCTGCAAGATTAGCATTTAAAAGTTTCAACTGTATAAAACTTCAATACACTGGGGTAGCGCGTCTGTAAGGCCTCAAAATTAGAGAGTGTTAAAACTTCCCACTCAATTTTTATCTATCTATATATATATATATCTCTTTTAAGGATGAACTTTTAGGGTATAAAAGTTATATAAATGTTGAAGATTAAACTGAGATGATTCTGCAACGCGAAATAAAATGAAGAGAACTTCCAGATGATTATTTTATAAGGGGAAGTTTATAAATCAAAAGAACAGAATGCTTTCTAAAGTAATATAGATAAATTGTATGCAATCTATGGAATATTATATAGGGTTTTAGTAATATACTCTTTCCAGCATCCTTTTTATTCTGGTCCCATCACTTAATAGACATCAAAATAGTCCCAAATTTACCTTTTCACTAATTTATGGATGCGAGCCATCCTTTTCTGCAAATTTGAAGAACTCGGTAAGTCCTCCGGATTTACTGAGCATTTCTACATTTCTATAGTTTAACCTAAGGTCTCAACAAATTCTGAAAATTTCTTTTGGAATTCGCATAATATACCTAGAAGAGCTATCCAACCAAGTTCATCTAAACTAAAGTCCCAACAAATTATGAAAATTTCTTTTGGAATTCGCATAATATACCTAGAAGATCTATCCAACCAAGTTCATCTAAACAAACATGTTTAGAATTCACATCTAATAAAGAATTGTGTCGATTACCTTTACACCTATTCTGCTATCAGAGATTCCTTTCCAGTTTCTTATACAGATGAGTATTAGGAATACGATCCCTTGTTCTATAGAAGAATAGCAACTTCAAATACTTTACAGAATACGTAGGTTAGTCATCATTATAGCTCAGAATATAAACTGCCTGAGATATTATAAGTTCCAATCTGCAGTTATTTTTATTTAATAAAAAACTCCAATTAGCCGTACCTGTCCTACGTGACATAATTAAGTCAACAAAAGATTCATAAATCACATCGATAGACTTAATGAACAATCCTCTTCATTTCAACATCTAGAAAGGTTAAAATTCTGAGCACCGTGGAATTAATAAATAAAAAAAATGGTACCTATCGTTGGCTTCTATGCATGTCCTCTACTTTTAGGTGCATCTTATTGAAAGAATCGTATTTAGCCTTTTATATCACATTATTTAATATTGAAAACATAAATACAACACAAAAATAACTCAGTTTTAAAACAGAAATGTATTCATTAAAATTAAGAGATGTGAATCAGAAAATGATCGTGAATGGGATAAATTGGGGTTCGTAAATCGCTAAAAAGTATTACTAAACTTCTTTTTTTTATTCACGCCTTTTCGTGAATTTATAGTTTAAACTTAAACTCTCGATGATAAAATTATTAAAAATTTCTAAATGGATAATATTTTGCCTTATACACAAAAATTGCCCAAAGATCACAACCGGGTCAAGATGCAAATCTGTAATATGAATCTCTATAAAGTTATTAATAAGGCGAAATCATCCATGATTGATAACCACATGGAGATCGTAAATTATTTTAACCTTTTGCATTAAACTATTTGTGAGGAAGAAATTCTCTCCCTAAACTGTCAAGCTTTTTTGGCAAAGGAAGATTGACATTTTACAAATTTCGCGCAACTCAGAAACTAAATTAATTTCGAAATTTTTTTTCGTAAAACTTAATTTCCTTATTTTTTTTTAAGTAAATAATAAATTTCAACATTTTGCAAATTTTAAATGTCAAAAAAAAAAAATTTAAAATCTTATTTATGACATAAATATTTTTTCCTTTTAAAATAAAAAGACACTTATTCAAAAAATTTTGGATAAATATTATTAAAATCTCTTGTAGAAAATGACAATAAATTTCATAAATATTTAAAATGAAATGACAATAAATTTCATAAAGATTTCCTTTCTTGCGACAATTTACTTCTTTTCACTTTAATTTTTCCATTCAATTTTCAAAAAAAAAACAAAAAATTTTATTTTAAAAGCATCTTTTTTTTTGGTTAATTATTAAGTTAATAAAATTTATAAATCAATAACATTTTTTGAAATTATTTTAATCTTTTTAAAAAAAACTTTTAATAAATCATCTATTTTTATCTTCAAAATAGGATTAATTGAAACATATAAAAATATTCCGCAAAAACGAAAAATGTTTGTGATTTTAAACTTAATCAGATAAGGGCTATTTATCATGTGTATAAAAAAAAGGGAAAAAGTTGAACCCAACAAAAATGAGTTTGCTAGGAGCTTAATCATTGATAGGTTTTAATAAATCTTCAGAATATTTTTGCTCTCTTCTAAATTATATTTACTGCAGGTTTGAAGATATTTTTTATAAACGAGGTTGGATGGTATAATTACGGGAACTTCTAGCAGATAACTGTAGATCCAGAGAAAAATATAAAGCAAATATATATACAATATGAGAAGTTTTATTTTGGGAGATTTCTCTTCACTTAAAATTAAGATATAGATATTTTAGATGCCTATCTTTGACAATGTATTGCAACTTGCATTTAATAAACTATGTTACCCCTGTAATTTTGTTCCTTTCTTCAGTCTTTTCCATTCTAATTTTATCCATTACCTTACCACTTTTTTTGGTAAACTTGTCTTACCTTTTTTACATAGATTTAGGATCTCACATCTGCAAGTTCTTTGGCAATCGTCGAGAAAGCTTCATCCTTAGACAGATTGGCCATAGCTTAAGCTTAATTACAAGTTATAGCAGACTTCTTTCCAATGAGTTTTCCTAGACTTACTCCTACTTCCTTATATTCTATACTAAATTTCTTCTTTCATTTTCTAGATTAACCTATTTTTATATAGTCACTATCATAGTTTTAATTTAATTAATTACATTTTATTTTGTTAAATAATTAAACGGTGTTTAAAAAATTTCCAAAAACAACAATTAGATATGCCTAAATTATATATATTATCTATTTAAATAATGTGGCGGTAAAATTTTTACATAAATAATAATAAAAATGATTCCAATAAAGATGGATTTAACAAAAAAAATCAATTCTTTCAACACTGTATATATTTTTTAAAGGGTTGGGGTTCTAATCAATCTCTGCTTTTTAGTAAAAGGAATTTGTTTGATGTATTTTTTTTTGAATATGGAGATTTACTTAAATGTCATTCTTTTAAACTTTTTTTTATTAAAAGTTTGATTTCATTTTACTTTCTTAATCTTAATAAAGCAAAATTATCCTCGTAAAAAAATAAGAATATATGGGTTATTTTTTTTTTACTTTCTTTAATTTCAAAAATAATATATTTATATGCAATTCAATTACCATCGATGCACAAAATTATCTTAAGCAGGGCTGCAAAACCAGAACGCGAACCCTCATTTTAAAAATTTAGGGTTCAGGAGTTCAATAACTTTATATAATTAAAAATATTAAAATTTAATATATTATAAACATGCAAATTATATTGTAAAATTCTATCATCATATTTTTAAATAATAGATAGATACTGTGATAATATAATATATTTTTGGGAATATTTATTTTTGTTTGTAGGGATATATTCAAGTAAGACCAAAGAAGAGAACATGATCACAAGGTAAAATAGCTTTATTAAATAATGGCAAGTTGTGATGTACTGGCATAAAAAAAAATCGATATTTCAATTTTAAAATCTTGATTTTGCAAGATATCCTGATAATTTACTTCAATTCTAATCATAAATTATTTTAATCGTAAGTGCTAAATTTAGTAAAATAATATAAAAAACTGATGTTTCTGTTATATTTTTTACTAAATTTTATGAGTCTCCTATTTTTCTGGATCACGAACCCTGAACCTGAATGTGGATCAGAGAACCCAACCCTTAACCATTTTTCAATGAGAGTTCATAGCCCTGATTTTAAGAAAATAAATTTATTTATAAATTTTTTTAAACAATTTTATAGATATCAAGCTGATTTTTATTGAATAAACTAAAAGTTTTAAAGTATAAAAAAATGTATATTTTTATATGCTCGTTTTAAATGGGAATTCGTTTAGAAAAGAATGGTAGAAATATGGGTGATGCCATTTTTTTCTTTCTATGTTGGAATTGAATGGGAACAAAATATATTTTAAACAAAATGTTGACAAAGTATTATGTGGCACTTCGTAATACGAGTTTCTGTTCGAAAATAAAGGGCAAACTTTGTAATACTAGTTTATTAAAAATTACTAATATAATAATAATATAAATTTTTGCATTTAGTTTTGTCAGTAAATACATGAATATGAATACCCCCAAAAATTTAGATAAAAATTAAATTATCAAATTAGCTATCAAATTGTACTATTTAATACGATAATATTATAAATAATGCATGATATATTAAATTATGCAGAAGGTAAGTTTAAGATATAATTTTTAAAAAAATTAAAGTTCCATTTTAATGAATTATTTATAACGTAATATTATAAAATTACTTGTTAATTGTTCCAGTTCAAAAAATTAATAGATCAATGCCAAAAAAAGGAGAAGAAAAATGACACGTATAAAATATGCAGACGATTTTTTTTTAAAAAAAATTAAAACGCAGATATTTTTTAATATAACGATTAAATATTCGCGAATTAAACTAGATGACGCTTATTTTCCAAAGAAATTACGAGAAAGTAAATTTATGATATAATTTTTTATGAATTATTTATAACATACTTGTCAATTGTTCCAGTTCAAAAAACAAATAAACGCCAAAAAAAGAAAGAGAAATATGACACGTATAAAATATGCAGACGATTTTTTAAAAAAATAATAAAAATAAACGCAAGGATATTTATAAATAACGATAAATATTCGCAATGTAGATGACGCTTATTTTCCGAACAAGTTTATATATCGCTAAATATACATCAACAATAATAATAATTTGTAAGATAAGATTTCAAATAAAGATCGGCATAATGCGATTCGCGAAAAAATAAAAACAAAGAGAGGTATATAGCATTTTTAAGCCCTTGCTTCTTTGCTTCCATTTTCTTTTTGCCGGAAGTAAAACAAAAATATCTACTTTTAAATAAAAAAAATTACGTTTTTTTTGACTTAGACAATTTGAGCACGTTTTAAAATAAATAAGATCATGGATGAGATATATGTAAAAAAAAAATTTGAATATTCTACAATGTATCGTCCATTTAAAAAAAAATAAAATATTACGTCATATAATTTATAAAGCAGTGATATGTAATTGAATATTAATTGAGTATAACAATATTTTGCATCTAATTTTCTCCGCAAATATTCGAAATCACGTGTTTCCTCCCCCCCTCTCTTTCCATCAATATAAAGTATACGAGTTCTCCAATATCTAAAAGTAATGTATCATAAAAAGTAATGTTATAAGACAGTTGAATCATCCTAACCCAAAAAAGGTTTTGAAATAAAAAATGATTTAACTTATCTTTTGAGAAAGGAAGGGTAAGAGGGAATGAGTTTTTAGATTATCTTAACACTGAGATTTTTTTATGGAGAATATAACCTTTTTCTCCCCGAAAAAGATGGGAAAATAAATTATAAGCTTATTATTATTATATATAGTATTTCGTTAAATTTCTAAAATAAAACTATTTAGACTGCTATTATATATATATTTTTTATAAATCTGAAACCCGAAAATTGATTCTTTCTTTTTAGAAATTCTAAACAGTTGTCTGAATAGAAATGCTGACAAGAATTATGATTATTCAAATTCTATATTTTTTTTAAATCAAAAACAGATGTTCTAGTTATTTTTCTGAGAATGATCTATTAAAGAACAAAAAAATACGAGCTCACCATTCTTAAGCCAAAGCTGATAATTATTTCTTTATAAAAAATATGACAAAAACGACGCATCAGATAATACTAGACTTCACAAAAATAAAATCTCGTATACTATTTAAAAAATGAATGACAAGTGTCAACATTCAAAAGCAAAATACAAATATTTAACCCTACTCAAAATATGGACGATAAAGTCAATATTTTTTATGTATTATTGGATATCGGTGCTTTTAGCAATCAATGTTTTTTTAAATGACACACCACTTTGAGACAGTGTAAATTTTGAAATTATTAATATTTTTTGATGTGTTATTGGATATTGACAATATTAGTAAACAAATCTTTTTGTGTTTAAAAATTTGGTAATAAGAATATGAGCCAGATACAATTTGTATCGGTCAATAATGTTTTTTTTAAATTTCACCATTAGTGTAAATTTTGTATTTATGGTATAAAAAGAAGAATTGGCCATATGAGATTTTCAACTCCATGCCCAACGCCATACGAATCGGTAATAATGGGTGAAGATACTTCAACCATGACAGACAAATCCATTTTGCCGACAGGTATGAGCCGATCATCGCACAGCTGTTGAATGCTGTGTTCTAGAACCTGCTGATAGGGACTAAATCCTCCTCCCGCGCAAATTCATCAACACTGATAGGAAATACATACAGGCTTTCCCAACAAGAAGGTTTGCACGCGACACCCAAAGATTAGATTATCTAAGTTACCATCCGTTGGTATTTTAATTCATATATACCATTCTTTAGGAAAGCAGTATGTGAATGCAACATGTGTTTTATCCCAGATCCAGGTAAACATATTAAAAAGATATTGATATATAATATGAAACAATAAAATAAAAATTAATCATAAATAACGCATATTTTTCTAATTATATAAAATAACATATATTTATGAGTGAAAATATGGCATAGAAATAGTTCTCCTGGAGGATATAAAATTTATTATAAATAATCATGTAGTAACGTTTTTAATAATATAAGGTTAATTTACTAGTTTTTATCGATTTTGTGGTTGGTCTGAATTCTAATTTTTTTGATACTCATATCGAATGGTAATAGTTAATGTTTATCTAAAATTTTATAATAATCGAGGGTGCCCATTTTATGAGGATTTTAAGTTTTATTTCGGGAATAAGTGGTCTAGAAATAAAAATATAGGCTTTTAATGATAAATTTATTATATATAATTGGAGTTAGTTTTAATCAATCAATAATTTAATGATTATAGGATATTCGCAAAAAAAAGTAATTTTTCGTGCTTTGAAAAATTAGATATCAAAAATATAAAGAAAGAAAGCCACGAAACCAAGCATCATATCCAGAATCCACAAGTGTGCAAGGATACAAGTAGCCAAATCTCGCAGAGACTGAATTTCCTTCTAAAAGTCTAATATCTCGCCAATTAGACCTGAATATTATTTCACCGAGGTGTAGCCAAGTGAAAAATGATGTTATAAATTTGGGGTTAAGATACTAAAATTAAGCCTAAATATAGTATACATGAACCTTAGCCTGTAAATGAAATTATATAGAAATCGAATATTTTAAGTGAATTATATGCCGCATAAATAATTTTTTCTAACTGTAACCTGACTTTCGGAATAATTTCTAAACCTCTAACTTACAATGAATAAAATTGATCATCGCAATATAAACTGATTCGCAAACGAATATCCTTTTCGTGAGGGCTAGTCTTAAAACGAGAAGGGTCCAAGGGAAAAATATTTTAATTCCAGATTTTAAACCTTATGTGGTCAACGGAGATATGAGTAGTGGTCTCCTTTCACTCCTCTAACAAGGTAGAAGCTCTAACCATATCCTTGAACCTTCGGGCCTTCCGCATGTGACGGGTCCGCTCCTTGTCCATGTGGGCCATTTCTACCTCTCTAGCGTGCTTGTCCTCTCGGCTCAGTTTGACACCAATTTCCGCCATAGGGATCACGGGACCGAGATTGAAGGCATGTCGCATAAACTCATTCTCCTGTTTATCCCCAAATGTTTCGGGATTTAAATTTTTTTTCGGAAAATAAAACGAATTTTTAGGAAAATTAAAAGGCACGGAAGCTTTAAAAAAAAGAAGTGAAAGCGTAAAAATAAATAAAAAACCCTGAGATGAGCGATGACGCCATGACCGAAGAGGAGACACATAGCTTGATACCGAACGCTATCCGCCCATGTCTGGATCACCAAGCTCTCCCCGACACGCTGACTCGGACCCAGTCTCACTACCTTTTCGCGTTTTACGTTTATATAAAAATTTTAAATGAGAGTCGTCGCACCCATATGGTAACATAGTAACTTAGAAAAAAAACTGAATTTTAAAACAAAATAAAGTGTTTAAAGTCTTAAAAAACTTAGAAACTGGATACCGTAGAAAATGGGATCAAATCTAAGAGCTGACACAAGATCTTATTTTTCAAAAAAAAAACAAGTGGGGACTCTTCTTTTGTAACTGATTTCAAATCTCTGGTTAGGAGAGAAATATTCGAGAATCAATAACTTCTACAAACAAAAAAAATTGCAGGATAAAGCTGAATAGGAAGAAAACGGGCAAAATCCCAGCCATTTCACTCGTCAAAAAGTATCGAGAATATTGGTTGGGTTGTGTAAAATACCAATTATCAACTAATTGTCTTTTCTTTAATATATTAGCAATTAAGTTTAATACATTATTTATTCGATACAAAACTAAACTACGTTCTTCATACGATATATACATGTATACTTGATAATTGAAATTTCACAATTGCGGCTATATCATTTTATATAAAAAAACTTGATTTTACCATTTATACACCAAACTATCAATAGTATTTCTTATCTGAACCCTCGTATGCCGACTGGTGATCTTTGCTAATATTAATACAATCCACCCATTAAATGGCACCATTATGATCTCCAAACACGATTAGGTTCTTTCAAGAAATAAATTTAACCTCCCCCCCCCCCCCAAATAAAATTAAAATATATTTAGTCTTTATAATTATCCACTAGGCGGGTGATAAATTTACAAAACAAAAAAATATAAATATAGATTTCTTGGTAATGAATACATACCTCTGTCTTAAATAGGGCTTCGTCTAAGAGAAATTGATTGACATCCTGATCGAAATCCGGGTTATCTTGATTGGCATCCGCTTCTCGATGATCGAGGTCCGTAATGGACATTTCTAGAGTACCGAGCACGCGTCTAAACAGGGCGCGAGCTACTCTCTGATCCTTTTTCGAAGTCGATTTATTATTTTCGGCGAGAAGACTTCGGATAATCGTGATGGCTCTATCTATCCAGACTCCGTATTGTTCTATAGATAATAAAAAAAAAATTTTAATTTTTTAACCAATCATAAATCAAATAATGTGAACCTTGTTCAGGTGTCAATGCGGAAGAGGAAGGCGGAAGGATTTCGAAGGAGACGGCCAAGCATTCGGCAGCGGATATACGCAGTTCAACTGGACAAGTGGCATCTTCCAACAAATTCACTATTAGGTATGGAACGAGTCTTAGAATAAAATAAAATTTGAATACTCAAAAAAAAATAAAGAATAGGAGCATATAAGTTAAAAAAAATTTTTTAATAAAATAATTTTAAAAAAAGTCGATGATAAAATCTTATTGGTGGTGCTGCCTAGAAGAAAACCCCCAAGAAAATTAGTCTCCGAAAAATATCTAATTTAAAAATCACATTTATTGACTAGAGGTCCTCAAATCATGCCTTGACCAATAATGTAGGTAAAATTGAGCGGTTGTTATTTAGAGATCAAAAAAATTATAAAGCTATAATTATTTAATGCATTACCCAAATGACATACAATAATATCTAATCTGATGGCATTCATAATAATGAGTTTAGGCATCGTTGAATGCAAATCAGCTGGATTCGCCATTTTGGTAACCCATAATTCATGAACTACTATAACTCGCGTCCTTGTTATCTCGATGATCTGGCATTTCTTTTAATTAAGTTTGCGTCAGCAGACATAGGAATAAATTTGCCTCTCGTTTAAAATATTTAATAACGATATGGGTAATCAAAATGACGTCCCCAGCTGTTTTCATTGACGTACACTTATAAATGCATCGGCAGTCTGGGTGAAATACCTTAAGTTTTTATTATTATTATTTTTTTTAAAAACACGTTTTGCCAAATTCTAAAACCAGAAGAAAATACTTCATAAAATTATTCATTTTATATTATAGGGTTTATTTGCTATTTTCTAATACGATAGAACAAGCTAGCGAAATAAAAAAATTAGCATATTCCAATTTTTGAGGGATGTTAATAGAAATCAAGATTACTTTTGGAATCTGGCCGCGAGTGCCTGTTGTGATGCCTGCGTAAGTAAGAGTGAGTATGCGCGAAGAGCGGTAGCTCTAAAATAAATGTTTTTTAATTTATTTTTTTTATATAATCCTAATTTTTATGCTAATTGTGCGATGATTTAAGTACTCTTAAAAACTAGATAATAAAGCGCCATCTTTTTTGAATGATTATATTCGAAAAAGGAAAAATATATAAGAGTGGGGGAAAAATAAATACAATTAAATTTACAATTATTTATTAAATTTATAACGGATTATTTTGGAAATTTCGTAAATTGCAATATATTCGACCCAATCCTACCCCGATTTTTTTTTTAAAAAGCCCGGCCCTTAACCCGTTCGGGCAGTTTAATTAAACAAAGGATTAACATTAAACCATTAAATAGGTCGTTTCGAACTCATGTGAACCAATATTAAATAATTTATTCAAATGAAATTTAAATAATAATTTAAAAAACTAATTTATTTTTTTTACTTTTTTTCGAATAATGACAATAATTTATTAATAATGACCCCCCCCCCCCACAAAAAAAAAATTTTAATCAATTAATGATTTCTCTAAAAAAAGTTTAAAAAATCATAATGACTTGACAACATAGGGTGATCCGGCAAAATTCATATTAAAAGAAATGAAAGACATGTCAATAATTATTAAAATAAATAAGGGCTAAACCTATGATTGGTTGAATTGAAAAAAAATCAGGGGTATTTTTTTTAACCTAAAATGGTTGATGCGCGTCGCGCGCGTGTCGTCCGGTTCCAAGTGTAGCGGCACGTGAACGTCTATTTCGCGAGTCTTGGGAGCCACGACTTTCTTTTGGCTCGGTCTCGGACGTTTAAAGAATACCTCGAGATCGTCCAACCATTGGTTCATCCTCAGCTGATCGTGCCCGTCCACCAGGAATGTGCAGAAAGTTCTCGATATCATACAAGCTTCCCTCACCTACCAGAGAATCATTAAAAGCGATTTTTAACATCGGCATAATCAATAACCATATAAAATGATGTAGTAGACATATATTTAATGGTTCATAGTTCTAATCTATTTTTTAATGGAATTGTCCAACAAACAATTTAGGATGGTTGCATGTAAAAAAAAAAAAAATTAAAGCCAATGGCATATATAATATCTAGACTGACGATGAATTATTTAAAAGTGCACATCAACGAAAAACAGCTGGGGACGGCATTTTGATTATCCATATCACTAATAAAAATTTTAGACGAGAGGCCAATTTATTCCTATGTCTTGACGCAAACTTCATTAAAGAATTGCTCGATCATTTGTTATCAATTTCTTGGTAGTTTTTTAACGTGAGAATAATTACTATATGGGTTACCAAAATGTCGGGTCCAGCTGATTTGCATTCAACGACGTTTTCAAATGCATTATTATGAATGCATCTACAATCTAGGTATTGTCATTCATTAAAGCTAACGAAAGGCCAAAGTTAAACAAAAAAGCTTCGGACGTAGGTATTATAGTGCACACAAATTAAGCGTTTACTCTTTGCCGTAATTTTTTTACTAAAAAACGTAACGCGTCCCTTGTTTAAAATCAGGTTGCCTTTTTTTATTAATATCCGTCGATTCAAAATTTTAAATAAATTCTAAAATAAAAATGATTTTTTCTTTGAAAATTATATTTATCGTCTGCCTTCTTATTTTTCTTTAATTTTCTAAATATTCCATTTTTTTAGGATTATAAGTTATTTTATATTACATTTTATTATATATTAACAAAGCGAAGAATTAAAAAATAGTAATGAAAAAGCAAACCTATTTCCGTTTTTTAAATGGTTGCTAACGCCAAACGGTAAATTTACCAATTTGCATGAGGCCATTTGAAATGCATTATTTGCGCTTGCAACGCAGCGATTGAAATGCCCAATTTGTGCGCACTATTACCCTGTATTCACTTGCGCGAATTCGCAACGAAGTAATGCATGGTAATAACTTTAAATCGCTTAAAAACAAACAAATCGAAGAGGAGATTGGATTGGATTTAAAACCGGAAGTTAGGAGTTATCCCATCATCGGGGTATGATGGGGAGGGGAGAAAATGATTAACAAGAATAGTTGAAGTCCGGAGAAGTATATTTCGCTTTCTCTTGATCCGATTCAACGAATCGCATACCCTATTTATTCGAACAACATTCCTGAATATCGATTTAGAATATTCGAAGTTCATGCGAAATTATTAAGACGAACGAATAATTTGTGAGGAGGGGGGGGGATATCCCATTCATTACCGTTATAATGTGATAGCTATAACGGTAAGAATAGAACATAATAAGCCCGAAACTATTTTATTACTTTTTCCTTACCACAACAATGTGTTTTTAATATGGTTATGAGGAAGATGATTTACGAAATAATCGAATTAGTTCCTTCCGGCTAAATACTTTGTCCCGTTTATATTCTAAATTGAGTGGAAATAAATGACAAGTCAAAGAAAGGTGGGGGCTAAAACACACCCCGGGTAAGTTAGTATAATTCAAATATTAAGCTTACTTTGGGATTTGAAGTGGGGTAGGGGAGGGGGGGGGGGTCAAGCAGATCTTTGGTTCAAATTGCTGTATCTTCTTGTAAATTTTTATGGTATAATTTAAATTAATTAACGAGTATGTATTCGAATTTCGGTAAATAATCTTTTAAATGGTCGCAGAAACGTTGATACTTGTTATAAGGTGCTTTCCCCACCCCCCACCCCCTCCCCAAATCGAAAATTCTGTTATAAGGCAACATACACAAAATTTCCAATTGACACTTAATTGTAACTGTCACTTAAAACAACTGTTATTACAATTTATAGCTTTGTAATTTAGAAAGAAAGTAAGGCTATAAAGTAATTATCACGATGACATATGGCCGAAAATTGAAAAAATTTAAGTATTAAATTATAAAATTTTATAAGAAAATTATCATTTTAAAATATATTTTTTTTCTTTATTCAAAAAATATTCGTTAATATCAATGACATATAATAACCTAGACTAAGGATGCATTCATAATAATGTATTCGAAAGCGTCGTTGATGCAAATCAGCTGGACCCACCATTTTGGTAACCCATATAGTAATTATTTTATGGTCTCTTGAGACTACTATTAAATTGATAACTTGCTATCATCTCGATGATCGGGCAATTCTTTAACAAATGTTTGAGTCGGAAATAGGAATGAATTGGCCCTCTCGTTTAAAATTTTTAATAATGATATGTGTAATCAAATTGGCCTCCCCAGCTGTTTTTCATTGGTGTACACTTTCAATGAACGCATCGTCAGTCTAGGTAATATTGTATGTTATTGAGGACGTTACAGGTGTCCGTCACAAATTTCCCTTAAAATTCTAAATAAATAAATAAAATATTATAAAAAAAATGGAGGTCTTCTTTTTGTTCATCGAAATAAAAATAACGATTCGAATTTCTCTCGTGATTAAGGGCTAAGCAATTAGTGATTAATTACTCCACGAAAAAAAATTAAGCTTAAATTAATATCTTTTTAATTGAAATTTTGGGCTGGGGCCATCAGGTTTCAAATAAAAATTTTGGGACAGGGCAGGTTCAGATTTTAAGTAAAATTGAATGCCCATGGCTCTGAGTGGTGTTGTTAAATGGGTCTTTTTGAGATGATTTTTTAAAAAAAAACGGCTAACTCAATATTTGATCCATAAAAATTATTTAGCCAAGCTCGAAGATTTTGTTCGTAGAAGGAAAAAAAGGTCTAGAACCATCTGTTAGAGAAATCTCGAGGCACAGGAAATATTTTTCTGGCGAAAATATTGAGTTAGCCGTTTTCTAACAAAGGTCTAAGCTGTGACTCGGCGGATTAAAGATCGGGAATTAGATATCTAAACTGACCAGTTTCGGTCCTCGACTTCATTTTGAAAATTTTTATTATTCAAATTTCTATAAAAATCGATATATTTGAAATATATTTTTAAAAAAATGTCATTTTTTTTATGACGTAAGTATGAAGGGGGGGGGGGTTGTAATGTGGTTTGAGGGGTGAGCATCGGGTGTTACCGAGTTTTTCGTATATATTCAACAATGCCATAAATTATCTATAAAATATTTTTAAAAAATATATAATTTGGTTAAGACGAGGTCTTCTCATCTTTCATCAAAATAATATGGTCATTAGAATTTTTCTAAGAAAAGGACTATAGTGCGGTAATTACTATATATTTTAGTCGATTAAGCAATTTTCCGGCTAAAAATGGCTAAATTTTTTAAAATAATATGGTCATTAGAATTTTTCTAAGAAAAGGACTATAGTGCGGTAATTACTATATATTTTAGCCGATTAAGCAATTTTCCGACTAAAAATGGCTAAATTTTTTAGCAGAAAACTATCATTTTGGCCTTTGGATTTTTCTTAAAAAGGTAGTAGCTCAAATTTGGAAGTTAACTAATATAAATTAAAAAGCCTTAAATGTTTACGGATTTTCTCTGGCGGTCACCCAAAGATTGAGCCAAATTAGCCGACTTTTAGCCACTATCCAACTATAATAAGGACAAAGCAATTAGTAATTTTTGCTTGGTAAAAAAAAAATAACGATAAATTAATATTTTTTGGAAAGGAAACAAGGGCTATAATAAAAGAATGGTCCAGGCCAGGTTCAGGCCAAAAAAATTAAATTGGCATGATGCCAATCTCAGTGGATGAGAGTTCTGGACTGAGTAGATGTAGCAAGTCTTTTAAACCAAATTCTGTTCCCAGCAGAATATATTTTTCTGAAACCAAAATCATTGAACAATGTATCTTAGAAAAGGAAAAAGGGTTAAAAAGGTTTACAGATTTGGGTTATGAAGGTGATATAATTTTAAAAAAGATTTAATAAAATTTGGTTCATTAACCCATTACCAAGATGAAACACACAAATACCCCAACTAGAACTATTCAATAAGAATACAAATGCATAGTTTAGAAATAAAATAGGCTACTGAAATAAACAGGGAAAATATCAAGAGGTTTTTTGTAATGGAAATTTAAACACATATGGGGTGTATTTATACTTCAATATAGCATTCAAGGGTCAAACAAAGGATGACAAACTTTCATAAAACCAGCAGTGTAGGACTAGTGTTGTTAATTGGTTGGTTGTATAAAACCAGACCCGGGGTTTGGGTCTAAAAAATCGATCAAACCAGCTCTGAGCACAGACCCCGGGTCTGAACTCCGAGTCGGCCTGAGCACAAAATTTGGTCGTAAATTTTATGACCAAGCAAATTAACAACACTATGTAGGACGTGAACTTTTATGATAATATCTGCGCTTCAATATTATCGATTCATTTTGTGTTAAATATGTGTTTTGATTATAGAGGTTATGGCAAGATTAATCAGGTTTGGCTAGTACTTTAACCTATTAAAGTAGTATATATTAAAATTTATCACCTGTATATCAATTGAATCATGTTTGCATATAGCTGTCAAAATGGGTTCCATTTGTTTCCAATAAAAATCACAATCACTAGAAAAGAAAGTGATTTGTGCAAAAAATAGGGCTATATTATCTGCTGCCAAAATTCTTTCTTTAATTGACTGATCCCGCTTGACACATCTTTCAAGAAGTGACATTATGGTCACTTTACTATTTATTAATAATAAGAATATATGTAGTCATAAAAAATTATATCCAAATAAAAAATTTTACAGAACATTAATATTATCTTAAATTTTTGATTAATAAAAAATAATGAATCAAAAAAGGTCTTGTAATTATAACAAAGTAATTATAAAATTATATACTTTTCATCAATTAATTCAGGAAAGTATTGAGATCTCAATAATAATTTAAAATCTTGGAGAGCTTTCAAACGTATATTTATACTAAAAATAAAAATTTTATTTAAAAAACAGCATGGATTAATACTTTTTATTGCTTATTTCTTCTAGGATTTTGTCTAATTTTTCATCTAGCAAATTTATTTCTGAAGGTTCTTCATTTTCATTTATATCTTAAATTACATAAATAATCTTTTTAGCAAATAAATTATGTTACCCTCTGTAACTTTTCCATAATCTTTCATGCCCCAAATTCCACTGTTAGAACTAGTTTCACTTAGAGCATCTTCTTGCATTGGAATGCTTACATTTAAAATGTCGGGATTTGTATTGATTTCTAAATATTAGAATTTGTATTTGAATATATAAGGCAATTACGCTTTCTGCGGTTTTTCTTCCCCATTTTAAAATGAATTGTCAGCTATAAAAATTTTCAAGTTTGTTCATCTGGAAATTTATTTATGCGTGTTTGCCAACTTTGAAAGATAGGTCATTATTATTTTTTAATACAGTATAAACATCGACCATTATTTGATTGGTAGAAATCTTTTTGAAAATAATAGTGGTTTATAATTAAAAAAAGGAAGAAATTTTGATTCAATATTCAATATTTCTTAAAATAAGCAAAATAATAAACATATTTTTTTTAAATCGTAGATTAGGGAGGGGAAGCGCATCCATTATACTCAAACTGAAGGTGTTTAGCACTTTATATAAACCAATGCCTATATATTACATTTTTTCTATATATTTAATATTATTTAAGAGTAATTTTAAGTTTGCACTTTTTTTTAAAAAAAAATGCTCTTTCACTAAAAATTTAATTATAATCGTTATTTTAAAGGGTTATTAACTTCTATTAATTTTTCCAAATTTATCTTTATATTAATGTATTGTATTCATTCACTAGGTATAGACATGTATTGGGTGGGAGGGTATTAGCCCAAAACTATATTAACGAGAACAGGGAAATTTGATAAGGGGGGGGGGGGGGATTTCCCTTTTAGTATCCTGATCATTAGAGACATTTATTGGAAGTTTTATGGCTCACTTTTGATGGCCTATGATCCTTCAAAAAAATGGTTTTGCCTTTTACACTTTTCTTAATTTTATTTTTTTTAAAATTTTATTATAGTATTTGTATTTAAAAATTATCCATTTAAAGCGGATGGGTAAATTTTCAAAAATTGTATCTGGATACAGAAAAATATACTTTTTAATATTTTGTATTTAAGATACAAGATGTTAGATACTTAACAAAAATTTTATTAAGACAAATATATTTATATTTACAGGAGATCCTTTATATGCATAAAAAACGTGAATGAAGGAAAAAAAAATATTTGAAAAATAAATATTTCTAGTTTTAAAATAAATTTTTTAGGAGTAGAAAGAAAGTAAAATATAATTATAAAGAAATAAAATATATAATAATTAGTAACACATAAAAAAGGTTTTAAAAAAAACCAATTAATATATAAACATTGAAACAATGTAAAGGGGGGGGGGGCGAATTAAATAATCGAAATATAAAATAGAGGGTGTTAAGATATTAAATTTTTCTTTGCAAAGATCTTTGAAAAATATTTAAGTTGGTAATGATAACAATAGATTTAATAAATTAAGAAATAGGAAATAAGAATGAAAGGATCCTATAAAATTGTTGAGATGACCTGATTAATTTTTTATATATTAATTTTTGTTATTAACTTAATACTAACCTTACGGACTCATTTTATAATATAAACTCAATAGTTTGATTTAAATGATTTTTCTTTTATATAAATTATTAAATTGATTATTCGTTTATATAAATTATTAAATTGATTTTTCGTTTATGTGAATTATTAAATTAATTTTTCGTTTATATAAATTGATTTTTACAAGCTATATAAGCATGAAAATATATTACATTTTGAGTAAAAAAATAATTTTTAAATAAAATAAATATAATAAAATAAAATTTTAAAATTTCTTATATGATTGTATTGTGAATTGATGAATAAAATCTCCTAATTTTGTTAAACCTATTACCAGTAAACATTATGGACAATTTTATAACAAACATAGATAAATTTAAGTTCCCTTTTTCAACTATAATTAAATTTTAAATCTAAATTTAACCATTTTCAACTGGAAATCAGCCCAATTACCTGAAAAAAATTTAAGGCATTGGCATAATATCCCTCCATACCCTGTCCCTTTCATCTTTCCACTCCTCCCATTTACAAATAATTCACTAATATTTAGTTTAATATCTTGCAATGATAAATTTCTATATCAAGTTTTAATACAATGCGGCACGACAACGTCACTTCTAATACATCCTTTCCTACAAAAGTTACCCGCAGAAATATTTTTTCACCCTTAATATCAAAAATTTCACAAATTTATCACCCTCTTCATTTCGTGTTCAAGACATTTAACTCTTTCAAAACGAAAATAAAATCTAAGGCCAACCAACGAACAATAAGAGTGACCTTATGATATATACTAGATGCGCTAGTTCGAACTTATCATTGGTACTCCAACCTTGTGACGCCCAAAATTTGAAATCCTAAAAATCTCTTTTGTTAGCAAAAGTGATTTTTATAGATCAAGTTTTACTTGCAACGAGAGAAAATACATAATTTTGGGGGTAATGATGGATGTATAATGATTTTAATAAAATAAGCTTATATATTATGAATATGACGACTAACGTAATATATCAATACCCTATCTTAAAATATTTAAACTCGGATATTATTTTTCATTTAAATTTTAATAATATTAAATTTTATTACTATTTAAATTAACTAATATTATTTTTTTCTAAATATCTGTATCTTTTTGAATGCTAGGTTAATTGAGTTAGATATATTTTTAAACAATTTGTATGTAATATATGAAAAAATAATTATTCCAGGAAAATGAAGAGACATTACTTAAATTTAACTATATATCATTTTAAAGAAGTCTTGCTTTGGTTACATATATAAAATTGCGAAGAATATATATTATGAAAACTAGCAAGAGATTTTTAGTGACTCCAATTTATTATTTCCTAGGTTAGCACGTCTTGATCTTTCTTCTGAAAATAAGGGTGATTTGTGAAGGGTATGCACGATTTGATACATGTTCAGAATCAATGAAATAATCCTATTATCAAAATTAAGATATTTTATTTTAAATCTAGATTTATAAATATTCAAAAATTGTTCCAATTCAAATATATAATAAATTTACATTGTATTAAAATTTGGCTTATTTTTAATCACTCGATTCGTTTTAAATTAGTCTGACAAAAACTCCTTTACTTAGCCTTAAGTTACTCAACAGTAGCATCTACAATAGAACAAGTGTTTAAAACACCTTTCGCCGTGCTAAATACACATAATTTTAATTAGGGGAATTCATCAAAAATTAAAGGATAATCCTTATTTTAAAAAAAAGCTTAATAGATTATTTTTTAAAAAAAAATCTTCATTCAAATGCTATCTAAAAAATTTTTTTTATCTTTATCAGAAAATATTCTGGTATGTGTATTGTTTTTTTAAATCAAAGTCTGCTTTTTCTATGTCAAAATATTTCCTCAAAGTTCAAGCCTTCAACCTTCGTTGACCTATAATTTTATCCAGGACTAATCTAAATTAAGTAGCGGGTAAATTATTGCTGATAGTATATATATATTCATCTTTATAGATGTTTTCGAATCTATTGAAAATAAATATAATCAAAATATAAATTGAGAACAATATTTCAACTGTAAATCTTTTATCTATGTCTTGGTTTGCATTAATAAGTGGCTTACAAAACTTGAAATTATTTAAAGCAATTTTTTAAAGTTTTAATTTTATATGTCCGACTCCGAGTGAGATATCTCAAATGTCCTAAAATCGAAAGAGTCATAGCAACATGTTCCATAACATATAAAATCACATATATATACATATCATGTTTTTTAATTAACACTAACCATACGATATATATATATATATAAACGACTTGTCATTATCTCAAAATCTCTGCAATTCGGATTAATCTCAATTTTTCAAATTGGTTATTCTCCTTAATAAAACTATTAATCTCACGGAGTTATAAAAAGAGTCCCATCTTGTTATAACCGGTTTAATCAGATATCTTCCCATCTTTTTCTTAAAAAATGGCTTCACATTTCGAGACTGCCCATGTATATTCCTTAATTAAGGGAACATTTGAGTTGGGACTGAATTTTACAAAGCGTAAACTTTGTACCCTTATTTTTTTTTATTGATGTAAAAAATGTTTAATATTAAACCTGAAGAAATATGTACAAATGATCTAATATTCTTTATAAAATTAAATTATAATATTAGAGAATAAGAATATAAATTATCATATCTTGATTGATTTAATACTAATTAAATTAACTATCTTGACTGAAAACTTAATAACGAAAATTTAAAACAATGAAGGAATTTGGTGGTTGATCTGACTTAAAAACTCGGTTTAAATTATTTAATTAAAAAATAATTTTATAATACGATAAAATGTTTTTTCCATATTTTTTTTTAAAGAAAAAACACGTTTTGCGTTCCCGTTACTCAACAAAAAGAAACGCCTTACCCCTAAAAGAAGGTAACGAATGGTCTTCCTTTTCTTCAAAAAAAGGTAACGACGTTACTTTATTGACGTTTACAAATAGGCCATTTAACTTCTTCTAACCCTGTAATATTTTGCACAAATTGACTAGTCACTCTTACATATCTCTAATGGTTATGCCTAGTTATGCGCTTACTAATTTGTCTTTATACTATCAGGATCAGGAGTACAATCCATTTATAGAATCCCCTCATTTTAAAATTAGTTAGAAGATTATAATAATTTAAGAAAACTTAGCAAATTCTTACAAGATCATTTGTGATTGACATACAAACGCAAAATAAAATATGTTTTTTTTTATTATTATAAGATAATCATTTTATTATGTACATATAAATAAATTAATGTACATTATTAGCCTAATGCTATCCATCATAAATGTAGATCAAATTAAAAAAAATGCCAATAAATTTTTTTTTCAAATTACGTCTATGATCTTTCTTTTCAAATTTCACCCAGGAAAATCTTTTTATCACTTGAACACGAAGCAACTGTTTTATAATAAATAAAATATAGCGAAAAAAAAATGAAAAATTAGCAATATATTTGTTATTTACTGATATCCTGGTTAGGGTGGAAAGTAGTTTCATTGACTGATCCGGTGTGGCCTGGAAGTTTGTAAATAATTTTACCCGACATGGTGTCCCAAACGTAGAGGAATCTATCCGAGCTTCCAGCTGTTACCCTTTGATGTCGATTACTGGCCGATGGTTTCGACCAATCGCACCGCAGTAAATTCTGATAACGAATTTATTTAAAAAAAATAATACATCAATTAGTGTATATTATGTTTTCATTTTGGGGAACAAATATTTTTTTTTAATGTTATTAATCAAGATAATTTATTATAATATTTATAATTATTTTTATCATTTTAGAAATAAATATTTATGTTTTACACATATTCATTATAAATTAATTAAATAATTTTTAAAAAAAAACCTTTTCATAGTTATGTTGATGCCCAAAGAGAACCTTACAGCATCTATCAGAGGGAGCATACGGCCTCACATCCCATATTCTAACTATAAATTTATAATTAGCTTATATAATATTATATTGATTTTTTTAGTCAATCAATAAAATAAAACTTTTCATTTATAATATATTCGACATTGTAAAAAAAAAATTAAAGAGCCCTCATTAAATCTTTCGAATTCCTGGTATAATAATAGAGATGGATGGATGCTATAACCTGTGTTATCCATAGAGTTAGTCAAGAGAAAGTTTCCGTCGGGGCTAAGCCGCAATCCAGTTATAGAGTCGGTGTGACCAAACATAGTATACAATTCCTTGTTTTTTCGTATGTCCCAAACCTGAAGATATATAGGTAACTTTTTATTCATTCGTTCGTAAATAGTACTTGTAAAAATTAGCTCCAACACACCGAAGCCAACGATTTAATATAATGTAGTACAGCATAAGGAATAAAGAAATCCCGGAGAAAAAACCCCCGGAAAAAAACCTCCAGGAAAAGAAAACCCCCTGAAAAAAACCCCGAAATTTTTTTTTGAATTTACTTAAGATCTAATAATATCGGTTAATTTTTATTTGGTTTATATAAGGTATAGACAAATTAGTATTTTAGAAAAAAATATTATAATAATATAATTTAATAATAAATTATATACATAATAATGATTTATCAATAAAATAAACAGATTTTGTTGCAAATTTTGTCAAATTTAGTCTACTTAATATAGTAATTAAGGATGGATATTGTATTTATTACTGTTGTAATATGATATGAAAGTGTATTGATTTTTTGCTAAAATTAGGTTATTGATTAAAGTGTAAGGTAAAATATATATATCGATTGGATATTATTGATTTTTATGATGATTATATATATAGTTTCGCTCGCGATTTTGAGATAGATTTTTGATTTTATAATTTTGATACATATAGTTTTGATACATATAGTTTTTTTTAATGTTTTTCCGAAATTGTAAAAGAAAAATAATTATTTTTTTGGTTTAAAAATTGTGAAAAATATATATAATAAAGAAAAATAAAATTGTGTGTTAAAAAAATATTTCGTATTTGACTCTAAGAAAATCCTAAAGATTAAAAATTGCCTTCTTACTACTTCTTACGTTTCTAACAATTACTATAGCAAAAATTTTTACGAAAATAAGAAATACATGGGGTTATTTTACTGGGATATTTTTTCCCAGTACCAATTTGAATATCAGCATTTTTTCTTGTTTAAGCACTGAGATTTTGTTTTCAGTGTCCAACTACCTACACGCCATCGTTCAAGTTTGGTTTCATCGTCAGCCACCTCGCATTTCATTTTTTTTTATCAATACCCAGATTGATGAATGTTTATTCCCAACCAGATTAGAAAAACGATGATTCGAACCTTCGCATTGATTATTTATGAGTTATTAGTTGGATAGAGTGCTCTGATTCAGGTTTCTGGAGGAAATCGAGGCCCAATTCGACCTGTCTGGGATTGAGAATTGCTTCTTGGGACCTTTCTTGATACTCCATTGATGTAATTTTTATCGAAATATTCAAGAATATCCTTACTATTGCTCAGAGTAACCAATCGGAATGCCACAACATTGCCCATATCACATAAAGGAACACATGCTAAGCTGTTCATCATGCCACAAAAGAATCTTAGGGCTTCATCGATTCTGTATTGGCTTTTCAGAACTAGCTTTTAAATTTTTATATGGGTACTTTGACACAAATGGTAAAAGCATCCTCTGATTATGATGTGATCTCCATTGAAAAAATAAATATAAATAATTTAAGATATTAATAATCATACCAATGACAGTTTTAACCGCGCTCATAGCAGACTTTTCAAAAAATATGTATATATATATAATGGATCAGGAAATAAATCCCGTTCTTAACATTTAGACATTATTACTTTGAATATTTTTTCGTAAATATTTTGTGTTTTTTTTTGGAGTCTAATAGCTGTTAATGATCGTGGCATTCGCTTATAAAATTATTTATCATACTAAAAAATTAAGTGAAAATTGAGAAGAAAAAAAATTGAAAAAAGGTTAGAAAAATAAAGATTAACAATGACTTAAAGCAAAAATTGGAAGAAAATAATAAATTGAGAAAAAAATTTAAAAATTTTTTTTAATAAATAACGATTTTCTTCTTTTTAAAATGTATTTTTCATGGGTTTTTTTTCCTATTACCGGAATAGAGGTCTGCAATGCCCTGTCCGGGTGCTAGATGGGATAAAAAAATAATGGGCTCTGACTGGGCAAAAAAAATGGCTAGGATGGGTTATCGATGAATTCTAAACGATAGATGTGATAATCCATAAAGTGTCATGTTTTTTAATTTAACCAGTGTTAATTTTGGTGTCTAACTACATTTTGGGTTAGTCTTTGTATTTTAAAAAAAACCAAACTGAGAGACCTTAGTAAAGAATTGGAAATAGGCTGGTCTGGATACAAATTTGACCAAGTCAGACCAAAACCAAATTCTAACCGTGCCAGACCTAAAATGTGTGCAGGCAATTTTCCCCATTAACTTCATTTGTATTTGGTAAAATCATGGATTTTGTAGAACCAAAGCTTATACATAGAGATTTACAAATAATATTTTTTATACCTTCTAATCTACGTGAAATCTTTATACATGTTAAAGAAAAATACAGAAAGATAGAAATTTACGATTTGAAAGGATAGGATTTCATAGTAAACAACAAAAAAAATAGATTTTAATTGCAAAATTTTATAATAGTCATTAAGAGGGTAAATCAAACCTTTATGACATTATCGATGCCCGCTGAGAAGATGTATTCGGAATTGTCACTGAACTCGACGGCTAATATTTGGTAAGTGTTTTGGAAGGATGATAATTCATTTTTTCGCCTCGAATCCCATAACTATAAAATATATGATAATGAAATTATAATTCAAAAATAAGCATATCTTATGTTTAAAAAAAAAATTATCTAAATTTGCTATATTAATTAATATATTGATTTAAAAACCAGAAATAATTTTATAGAAGAGGATTAACTTTATAGATTAAGGCTTCTATTTTTTTTCAAATCCAATAAAAAAAAATAAGAGAGAGGTTGCCTTATAATTTATAGATCCAAAGTACCGATGTTTAGCAAAACATTTTTAATTTTAAAAGAACTAGAAGAGAGCTTTAAAAAAGGGTCTTTGTTTTTGGAATCCTTGATACAAATTATAAAAAAAATATTGATACAAATGTGATTAAAATTCAAAATTCAGATAACCAAACTTTGACAGTAGAATCATCAGAACCAGAGCATATCATCTGAGGGCCTCTTCTATTACACGCGCAAGAGTTTACGTGAGATGTGTGTCCTCTGAATTTACGAATTCTGGTCCCAGAGTGCATGTCCCAAAGGCAAACAAATTTGTCAGAAGAACAGCTCACCAAATCTCTTATATTAAAAAAAGGATTAAACTATATATCTATTTGAGTTTTACTTATCCTATTAGAGATCCGCAAAGGACAAAGTTTAACTCACTCACAAGCTTGCCAGCCTATTGTTTTCTTTAAAAAATTAAGCTATTAAATTAATTTGAATCGATGATTTTTATTGGATAAAATACCATAATCATTGATTCTATTTATTTTTTTTATTATTAAATTAAGTATTGGTTGAGATTTATTGCACGCATATATTTTTTTTTTTAAAAAATTGTGCGAAAGATCATAATAGGCTATGGTCCTAGCCCTAAAATAAACTACCAAGTCATAGGCAGTGGTTTAATATTTCAGTCACCACCAGTTTTAGTAAATTTATGAAACATAAGAATTGTTAATTAACTACTAGATAAAAAATTTAATTATCTCACCCCCTCCTCATAGAAAATGCATGCATACATTTTTACATTTCTATTTCTTTGAAAAGTGTGTTATTTTTAAGACAATTTATATAAAAATGTATTTGTTAGTTGTTATAAGATACTTTTAAATTACCCATCAGTATTAAAATTGATGTCAAGTATTGCTCCAAGGTGCCCAGGTATCACAGCAAAATTATCATGATTATCAAATGTATTCCATAAAACTATACATATTATTTTGTAAAAATATTTTGAGATTAATAAATAACTAACAAATTTGTCTCTCAAATCCACCAGAAGCAAAGTATGTGCCATCAGAAGAAAATTTTATGGAATATATTTCACTTTCATGTCCTGTATAAAGAATTATTGGAGATGAGAGATCACTTTTATGCTTTGACTTTTCTGGAGGCTAAAATGTATTATTTGATATTATATGATATGTCTCTAAACTTTACTTTAAGTATTAAGGATGTATTTAAATTAGATGTAGTATAAGGTATGGATCCCACCATTGGTTTACCAGCTTGAAAGCGCCGACGCAGGTATACTGAAATTATAATTTACTAAACAAGAGACAGGTCAATCAATCATGTAACATATGAAAGCGTTGATAAATAATCATTTGGGTAGTAAATGTTCAATGACATATTTAGAGATATTTCTGATTGATTTAAAATAATAATTTTTCAAAATTTTTCCGTTGCAACTATTAATATATATACTTCTTGATTAACTAAGGCGTTTCTTTTGATAAGGGCGAGGGGGCACATTTGGTTCGGTTTTCTCAAAATTTAGAGGGTCTTTAGGTTCACTTCTTCTATGGCTTGGCTATATTATATTTTTATAAAATATTGGTGTTTCACTTTCCTATTTTCAAAAAAATTTGAATTATAGTCGTTATTTTAAAAAGTTATTAACTTTTAATTATCGTAATATATTGTGTATACATTTTTAGATGAAAGAGTGGTAGGGGTTGTCTTTAGAAAATTTTTATTAGCTTAAGATGATAATTATGAGAACAGAAGAATTTCAGAAGGGAGGGGAGTATCTTCTGGCCCACCCCCTAGCTACTCTTAAGCTGATTATTCATTAATGTTAAACATTTGATAAAGTTGAATTTACAAAATAAATAAACTATCAGGACCAATAATTTTTTTATAAGGTTATGAAAAGAAACATGAGCTCGCGAATTTATCTCCGCAAAATAGGAAAAATTCAGGAAAGCGAAAGTTATATATACCGTTTTCTAAACCTAATTTCATGAAACCTTTTTTTAGATATGAAACTCTACCAATTTGTTTTGACTAGGTACAATGTATGTCTAAATAACTACTCATGTAAACTATTTTTAGAATATAGTTGCCAAATAAGAAAAACGAGTACCGCTATGAAACAGACGGCCGACACTTCGATTCACATATATCTCTCATCTCACGATGACCTCCCATTGCCTAAGACTTTACTTGTATAAGTCTTCTTTCTGTTTCAAACCTAATATGTGACATGTTGCCAGTTGCTGGGGCATAAAAATAAATCTCGTACTGACATCTCTGGTGATTAAATAATCTATATAAAAATTTTAATAACCACATCAATGATATATATAACTATAGATTGACGATCATGCATAAAAAAACGTCCACCTATTGAAATCAGCTGTAGCGCCATTTTGTAGCTTGTACGTTGATCAAATGCCTCAATAATGATAATAATTTTTAAAAATTTAACAATTTTACTAATAATTTTTAATGTAATTATGTAAACTAATCAAATGAATCCTAACCTCAACTGATCTTCAATTAAATTACATGGGTATTCTCTAAAATAAAAAAACTCAACATTTAATCCAATAGTAGTACATAATATCATTAAATTACTTTCACCCAGAAATTATTCAGAAACATAGATTGCTACAACATCACTGAAACAAAAATCACCAAAATTATACCCATACAAAATATTCCATACTTATATCTAATACACCCTCAAATATTCAACCAAATAAGGTCCACTGCCTATATATAATTGCCAAAAAAATCACACAGATTCCTTTGACTCAGTCAAGAAAATACATCTTTCAATCATAGTTTTAAGTTAATTTATCTATTTGATTAATATTATTATAAAAATAAATTTATTTTTAAACATTCCTCAATTATTTAACCCCCAATCATTTATTAGAATATCTAATTTATTTTATACATATTAATTGCAAATATCAAAATCATTTATATTTTTATATATATTTGTTAATTTTTTTAATAAAATTAGTTTTTATAATTTTATCAAATTCACTTGATGTTTCATTAAAAATCTTATTATCCACTTATTGTTCATTTATGGAATCCTTATTATTAAATATAATAATATTTTATGATTCATATCTTATTAATAAATAAAAATGATGTACTTATATTTATTGTAGTTGCTGGTACTTTTAATTTTAGGTAAGTAATTTATACCTTAAAATAATAATCAAAATTTATACAAAAAAAGAGATCTGTATAGATATAATTAAATAAAATCTACAATACTCTAAAAGTAGATGAGGATTAATTAATTATGTTAAGAAAATAAGATTTTATAAAAAAATATCCTGTCAATTAAAAATTATTTTGGATTATGTGTTCTAGATGAAATAAGTTAAACTATCTTAAAAGATGGGTTGAGAGCTCATCTTACTTAATTTTTATTGTAATAATCATTTATAATTTTTTTTGTTTTAATTATTTCATCTTAATTATAAATGACAAATGAAAACATCTTTTATTTTTTTTTCAATAAAAACATAGTGTAATAATAACATTTTTTGCATGAGTTTAAATTATTATATAAATCATTTAAATAAGGTTTATACAATAAATATATAAAAATATAGAGTACACTTTAAAAAACAAAATGTATTTTTAACAATGTGATGATTCACATTCATATTATCTTTGATTATAAACATTCATCCTTTTTGATTCTATCATCACCTATAAAAAATAAAATATATTTACATTAGCATTGATTATATATAATATCATAATTTTTATAATATGTCTTATATAAGGCCTGTTCTTTATACAATATAATTTTTAAAAAATAAAAGAAGATATAAATATTAATTTACATGACTTATTGATTATTAAATTGTATTGCTTTTGTAAGATTTTGCCTCATACCAGTTCTCAATTCCTGGTTTCTCAAGTCAGCAAAATGAAAAAATCTAATATTTAAATATCTTTAAAAAAATAGTATAAAACTAATAAATGATTACCTTTGAACAATTAATTTTACAAGAATTTGAAAATGGCTGTAACCAATCTCATGTTCATTAATATGTTCAGTAAGATCAATAAAAATATTTGTACCAATTATTGTGGAAAAAACCAACACTTCCATTTTTTTAATAATATTTTTACGTTTAATATCATTTTGATAAGTTCTAAATGAACTTTCACAAATTCGGCATAATATAGACATACTAGATGAAGGAATCACTAACCCCCCATTATTTTTAAAATTTATGAGCATATTATTTATATTATTATCAATATATGAATCACTGACCATTGCATTAATGCAAACATCACATCGTACCTTTTTTTCTTTAATAAGTTGTTGTACTATATATCCCGAAATATAAGTTGTTACATTATCTAAATATAATGATAATTTTGGGATATGAGGATTTGTTTGGCTAAAATAATAAGATAATGCCTGGGGTATTATTGGATTTGAAATAGTTTTGATAGAATTAAAATCATCGTCATGATTATTTTGAAAATTTGAACATATTAATTGAGTATTATCTAAGGAAATGCAATTTCCTGTAATTGTAGCATCCAATTTTGCCATTAAGGAAATGCGAACAGCAGATCGAACCTGATATGCTGATGGATTATCATTAAATCCACCTCTGCTACGAATACTACAAAAATATAATTCTAGGTGGTCTTGAGAGGTTTTATATGTTAAAAAGAACCTTAAAAAATTGTTATATTATAGCTTTATGAATAACTCTTGTTATAAATTAAATATAATACTTCATTTTTGGGGTTTCCCCAGTTAATAATTCCTTCCCCATTTCCAGGATGCTTTTCATAGAAAGAATTAACCCTTCTACACATGTTTTTTTATTAGACTTATAGACATAAGTTCCATTTGTTAACTTGAGTGATTTTAAAGTTTTAATGCACTTGTCAAAATGATTTTCATAATCTGCAATTGTATTATTATATAAAGGGGCTTTATATCCTTTACCAAGACAATTTCTTGTATTAAGATAATCAAACATTCTATAAGTTATTCATAAATTTATATCATAATTTTATTTTACTGATCTATCATCAATATAAAATTAATTGTACTAGTGTTGTTAAACGCTCATTTTGAGCCGATTTTTAAAACGGCTAACTCAATATTTTAGCCTAAAAAATATAGCCTAAGCCTTGAGATTTCGCTAAAGAGCCGTTTAACAACACTAAATTGTACCATCACAATTTTCAAATCCAGGAATCTCCTGATGCTGGGCAAAAAGAAGGCTATTTGCAACAGATGCACTAAAAACTTGAACAGCAAGTTTTACCTTAAAAAATATTTAATATTTATATATTTATTATCAAACTTTCATTTTTTGTTTTTGGAAAGCAATATGTGCTTTGCGCAATTTATTTGCAGCACGTAAACCTTCGCACTCCTGCAATTTGTGTAAATTTTGTATATGCTTCCAATCTATTAACTATAAATACAAAATAAATATTTAACCAAATTTAGCTAGCTACCTCTCCATTTGATTCATTTATTAAAATTTCCTCCTCCGCTAATAGATTTCTAAGTAATTTGAGCATATGACAAACATCTAGTAACATGTATATTTTTTCTGATTCATAAAATTCCAGCTCAATATATGGAATGATATTATCAGGATCCATACTAACACCAAGCAGTTTGCTCATTTTTTTATTAACAGCACAACCATCACATACTATGGCCTTACAGATAACTCCTGTTTCATTTATATTGAACAATGCAACTCTCACTAAATTAGCTAGGATATCTGAATTCATTTGTGAAACTAGAAAATAGGCTATTGGCATTTTCCAGCTGCTATTAAGACATGTAGCCATAAGAAACAGTGCCTTTGTTGCTTCTGGACAAGATTTATCTTCCTTTGTTGATTTTGTCCCATCACCTAAATCAACATAACCATGATATTCTGCTTTGTGGAGGTCATAATCTATTTGTGTTTTAATATGCATTTCATCAAGGCTAAGTACACAATATAACTGCTTTTCTGATTTTTTTTGGTAGCTTTTAATTTGGGTAAATGAAATAGAAAGGAAACCTTTATTTAATTTAATTTATTTTTTTTAAAATTATTATAATAAACCTGGCATGATTTCAATCTTGCTACTCCATGCCCTTAATGTGGATTCCGAAGGCATACAAAAGTGTGATTTGAGATATCTGTAAGCCTTAGGTGAATAAAAATGCATAGTCAATGCAAATTGACGGAATTCACTTGTATATATTTTTTTTGTGGGTTTGAGATGCCTCCACTGTGTATATGTGTTTTAAGGAATATAGCAGATGTCCCTGTAAAGTGCCTGTCTA